TGTGTGTGTGTGTGTGTGTGTGTGTGTGTGTGTGTGTGTGTGTGTGTATGGATATGAGAGGGCCTAGTCCACTGTGGTGATGCTACCTCTGGAAAGTTGGGCTTGGCCTATATAAGAAAGATAGCTGAATGTGACCCCAAGAGCAAGCCAGTAAGTGGGGGTTTTTCCACTGATGTCTCTGCTTTAGCTCCTGCCTCCTAGTCCCTGCCTCAAGCTCCCTGGTTTCCCTTGATAATGGACCGAGTGGCCTATAAACTGAAGTAAACTATTTCTTCCCCAAGTTGTTTTTATCATGATATTTATCACGGCAACAGGAAAGCAAACCAGAATAACAAATTGGTGTCAGAAGTGTAGGATTGCTGTAATTATTAACCATGACCGTGTTGTTTTGGGAGGGAGGGTTGGGAAAGCATTCGGAACTTTGGGCCTATAAAAATCCCTGAGCAGCCAGGAGATTAATGGCCCGTTCTAGGCTAGCTTGAAAGATGGAAATGTTGAAAGACATGCAGATGGCGGAGACTTGGTTCGTAAAGTTTCAAAGGGAAGCTTGAGAGCCTCTGGAAGATTCTATGAGGGCCACCAGTGTGATATATTAATAATCTATAGAAGTGAAACAGTCTAAGCTTCCGAGGGACGATGGCTGCTGGTTAGCTAGGACTGAAAACTCGGCTGTAGTGTGTAAGACCAGCATCACCGAGGGACTGTCTTCTGGGAAGTATTTTCCTCAAGGTCAATATTTAGAAGCTGTGGCCCGGTAGTGGGGTGGGCCAAGGCTGCCCACAAAGCTGGCAGTGGAACTTGGCAAATAACATGTAGGAGTCTCCCACATGGTGCTAGTTTTGAAGGCATGAAGGGGTCATTGAGAGCAACTGAGGCTTGGCACTCTATGGAACCAGGAAAGGCCATTGATGAAGGTGTAGTTTTAGTGGCAACAGAATGTCAGGGATGCCAGGACCTTGGGGTGACTGTCAAGGACAGTGGCAGATATGGTTTGAATCCTTCCCAAGCCAAAACAGCAAGCTATATGGTGTACATATACAGAAGAACTGCCAGTGCCCAAGCTCTTTAGCGCCCAGTAAGTCTCCAGTGAGTCCCAGATGTCAGACACAGAACGCCGTGTGCTGTAGGATTTTTGGTTTTGCTTCAATCTGATTGTAACTGTGCCGTGGTTCTTCCCTTGAGGAACAAGAAATGATGTAATTTATTTTGTGGGCTTTATGATATCTCAAAGTTAAGAGACTCTGGATTTTCAAAAAGAACTTGTATTTTTTTAGATCATTTGGGCTTTTAAAAAGACTTTGAGACACTTAACATTGTACTGTGTTTTGTGATAGTATCCTGAGATCTTAGGGATCAAAGAAATGAAAGATTGTGGTTTAACATTAATGTGTCTGTGTGATAGGCTGACAAGGAGTACATTGTACTGGTTGATTTTTTTTTTCCTATCTCACACAAGACTAGATACACCTAGGAAGAGAAAATTTCCTCTGAGGAATTGTCTCCATCAGAATGGGCTGTGGGCATGTCTGTGAGGTGTTTTCTTGACCGATAATTGATGGAGAAGGACTCAGTACATAGCGTGTGGTGCTGTCTCTGATGGTAGGCCTGAGCTGTATAAGAAAGGTTGTTGGGAAAATCAGTCAGCCAGTGAGCAGCTCTCCTCCATGATTTCTGCTTCAGGCTCCAGCCTTGAGTATCTTGCCTTGGCTTCTCTCCATGATAGAATGTAACCTGTAAGCCAAATGAACCTTTTCCACCCTAACTTGTGTTTAGGTTGGCGTCTTATCACATTAATAGAAACGCAAACTAGAGTGACCAATGAAAGCAAGGACAGACATTATAAATCTGGAAGGAGTCTCCACACATATGCACGGATCTACAACTAGTAGGGGTAGCAAAAATGGGACTTCTCTAGCTAGCCAGAATTCCCTGTATCTTATGGACCCATTTGTTGAGGTTGGTCATTTACTGTATATTGTAATGCTAATAGTGGCCCCCAAGATCTGGTTGCCCCAGGGATGAGAGAATCCACACATACACCAAATGATGCTATGTGACCTTGCTCCTTACTTTAACTCTATTGGCTGAATAAAGATGACCACAGCCTATAGCTGGGCAGAAGAGGGACAGACGGAGTTTCAGTCCCCAGCCTTGGGGTCTGAGGCATGATACCACTTGAGGAGAGAAGGTGGAAAGAGGAGAAGATGCCACGGGGTAGGTGATCCATGAAAACATGACCATGAGGGCTGGTCAATCGGAGTTAAGAACTGCCCAGGTGGAACAGGGCAAGTTATAACTCAGAGTTATTGATGGGGAAGTAGATTATAATAGCTTAGAGGATAGATACGTACCCAGCTCTTGTGCACTAAAGGCTAGTGCATTATAAATATAAAAGTCACGTGTCTTTTATCTGGAAACCGAATGATCAAGGTGAGGTAGAAACCCCTGGTCGAGATTAAATGATTACCACAACATCCACTATTCTTAGAGCACTCACGTGCATCAGCTCTGTGATGGCTACCAAGTCAGCCAGCGAGATGTGGGGCCCAACAAGGAAGGCTTTGTCCTGGAGAAACTTGTCTTCGAGCACCTGTAGGTTAACATCCAGTTCTGCCAACGTGGCCGCCAGCATCTCAGGAGGTATTTGCTCACCCAGGAAAACAGGGAACATCACCTGGGAGGGAGGGAGGCAAGATAAGGAATTGGAACCAGCTGAGCCTTGGGGGATAAGAAGTCATGCCTCCGAACTTCTGGGATGCCCTTTACTTCTGTGCCTCTTCTTTTGTGGCCTGTCCAGACCCACAGGGAAATGCCCAAGTGGCATTTTTGTCTACAAATTAATAGTCATCCTTTCTCCATCTCTGGTTGCCCAGACCTCAGAAAGAATGACTCTTTATTAATGACTTGAAATAGGGACTTGAAGAATAAATAGATCTAATATTTTTGAGGAAAGAAGTCAGGTTAGGGATCATGGTCATGGGTCACTCGGTGTCGGGAATAAAGCAATCGCTTTGTCTTGTAGATGTCACATACTTCAACCACATAAATAGTGTAAGTCACTCAGAGAGCTTCTTCATACAACCGAGGGACAAGGTAAACAAACGTTCATCTGGAAGCAGTCCTAGCAGAAGAGCAACAGTGAAGGAATCACAATACCTGGTATCAAACTAATCTACAGAGTTACAGTAACAAAGCCAGCATGGCACAGGCAGGAAAGTAACCATTCTGACAGTTTAATAAAACAGAGGACCCAGTAATAAACCTACATAGCTACAGCTTCCTAACTCTTAATGAAAGGGCTGAAAACATAGACCGGAGAAAAAGACACCTCAATAAACACTGCTGAGAAAAGCGAATACACATTCAAAAAGAATGAAACTAGATCCATATCTTTTACCCTTATAAAAACAAATCCAAGCCAGGGGTGGTAGTGTTCACCTTAATCCCAACATTCAGGAGGCAGAGGTGGATGGATCTCTGTGTTTGAGCCAGCCTGGTCTACAGAGCAGGTTGGAGGACAGCCAGGGCTATACAGGGAGACCTTACCTCAAAAAAAAAAAAAAAATTAAAAAGAAGAAAGTATGGAGAGATAGCTCAGAGGTTAAGAGCACTGACTGCTCTTCCAGAAGTCCTGAGTTCAATTCCCAGCAACCACCTGGTGGCTCACAACCATCTGTAATGGAACCCCATGTCCTCTTCTGGTGTGTCTGAAGACAGCTACATTGTATTTTTTTTTTGTTACATTGTATTCTTGAAAATAAAATAAATAAACCTTAAAAAAAAAAAGTGGTCTTCCCACTTCAAATTATTTAATTAAGGAAAAAAAAAACCCACCTCCCAGTTGTGCTCAGCCATTTGGGCTTAAGAAAATTACAGATATAGTCAAGTTGACAATAGCCATGACCATCATTGTGCTACAATAAATAAATAAATAAATAAATAAATAAATAAATAAATATAAAGTATAAGAAAAAAGCAAATTCACAATGAATTAAGACATTAACATAAAACCTCAGATTCTGAAAGTGGCAGAAAACAAAAAAATCACAGGTAAAACACATCAAGATCTAAGCATAGACAAGGACTTCTGAGGACTCCAGTAGCATAAGAATAATCTTAAAACTTGACACGTAGAACTACAGGGAAGGAAAAGCTTCTGAGAAGCAAAGGAAAACAATCGCTATATCAGAGAATGGGAAAAAATCGTTGTCAGCTGGACATCAGACAGAGGACAAACGTCTAGAGTCTAAAGTATTATAAAGAACTGCAACAATTAAATGCCAAAAAAAAAAAAATCAATCAATAAATGGGCTGAATGTACAGTCCTCCAGAGAAGAACTTCAAAAAGCCAATACACACTTGAAGTGGAGATTCTCGGGGGATGGTTCCACATCCACGCGCATGCAGGCAGCTCTAAGTGGACCCAGTGGGAAAAAAAAATAGCACATGAATTTGGGAGGGAAAGTTGGGGATGGGTTAGAGTTGGGATATGAAACAAAACAGGCAGGGGGGACTAAGACCTGGTGAGATGCCTCAAGTGAAGGCACTTGCTGCTAAGCTTCTACCTTAATGGTAGAAGAAAAAAGCCAACTCCCCAGAGCGGTCCTCTGACCTCTCTGTCCATGAACCATAGCGCACATCACCCTCCCGCACACGCCTGCGCACACACATGCGCACCAACAAAAGCACTCAATAAAGAAATTAAAACGTAAGTGTCAAGAGAGGGGGGCAGAGGACTAGTAAGAACTGATTAGGAGGATAAGAGGGTGGGGGAGGGGATGAGTAAGACCAAGCAGGTCTGAAAATACCGATACGAAATTCCTCGGTACATAAAACCACCAGGCTGGCCACGTAGTCCCAGGATTGAACTCTGAACGGTTGAAACGCTAGGTAAAAGAATTTAGCGGCCTTACTAACATTGCCCCACTAAGATTATTCTATAAAATTGATTTTTCCCCAATAGCATAATGGCTCAGGTCCCACGCGGTAGCTAACAGCGGAAATTCCATAGGGTCCTGTGGCGCATATTTTATTTGACCCAAACCAGAGGTTTGGTTTTGTTTCTATTTTGAGACAGAGCCTCATATGGCCCAGGCTATGTATATAGCTGTCCTTGACCCTTGAACTCTGTCTCCTTCTGTGTTTACTTCTGCCTCTACCTCCCAGGAGCCTGGTCACGCATATCCCACCACACCCAGATCCAAACCAGAGTCCTTTATAAGTATAGTATAATATAGTAAATATAACATAAATATAAAGTTTATAAAAATAACTTTATTTTTGGCTTCTGACGTCCAATCTTTTATATCTTTAACAGTTGTCTTAAGACTGCCTGCACCATGACTGAACTCAGCTAAAATCATCTTCTGAAGGTATACCCAACTGGGCCGTGACAAAGTCTTGATCCCTGGGTCTGTAAGGACAGTCTTCTCAGCAGAATGGCTAACAAAGTGATTTTCTCAAACCTTCGTGTTATCAAATTTCAAACAATGCAAATTCTTAATTGTTGAGTATGAATCAATTGGTCCTGGGTGCTGCAGTAAAGAGAAAAGCTCACCAAAACATTAAGCCTTTATTTTCCAAGAGATCAAGAGGGATTCAACCTCCCTGGAAAAACTGACACCCAGCTGGCTCGATCCAGTTACTTTATTCAAACATAATACAATGTTAACTGGGACTGGGAGAGGTTCCACTTCCATAGTTGTCTTGCTCTGTCGCCTAAGGGAGCAGACAACCCACACAAACAAATCTCAGTCCCCTTAGACCAGGGCTAGCCTTAAGCAAAAGAAAGAATTCCAGCTTTGCCAGGAAGAGTCTAAGGACCATGATTTGTACAGCCGCAAGCTCTCACGGTAACACCAAGTGCAGATTCTTTGGAGAAACAATGTATCTTCAAGGTTCAAACAGTCTCAAAACAATTTCTCAGCCTCTACTGATTGACCCAAATAGAGCAAAGGCTTTGCTGAAACCTGTCACTCAAAGCCAGACACACATGGCTTTACTAAACATTTCCGTTAAAGCCAGACATAAAGGCTTTCCTTTATGTTTCAATACAGTTGAGAGCTAGACCGGTCCATCCAAGCCTTCCTCAGAGGCCCCCAATGAAAGGACAAAAGGAACCTAGTTTTGTATCCTTGCCCAGGAGCAGACTTGGCAAGGGTTTGGGGTTACAGATAAGACCTCGAAAGAGTTAAGTATTCTATCCCTGGGGGCTTGGCTTTTCTACATGAAGAGATAGGACTTCCCCAGTCTCAAGGCCATCGTATACTCAATCTGTCACACTCTTGAGACTCTGTGTTCCTTTTGAGCACCAAGGCTTGGTTAGCCTTCAGCTGACTTTGTTCCACTGTATGATAGTTCCTGCTGACTCTGTTCCGTCTCTCCCCTGGAAACAGTATGTAAGATGCTGTACTTCTCAACAAGCTTGCTTGACACAGACATGGCTCATGCAGGACCTCATGACTCCAGCATTCCTAGCTCCTTTACCGTCTCATCTGCTGGCTACCTCCCGCTTAAAACTGCTGTGTCACTGAAGAATGGCTGGTCCAGGTCATTTAACAGCCAGTCCAGGTTACTTAATAACCAAAGCCACAGGCAGCTAAATGGCGTCTATATGACTTTTCCCAGGGCTGTGATAGAACACTCTAGCAAAGCAACAGTTCCAGGGTACAGCTGTTGCAACGGGATGTCCCAGTGCCAGGAACCTAAGGGACCCGGTCACACTGTGTCCACACTGAGGTCACATTGTATCCACACTGAGAATGATGAATATACTTCAGACCATTTTCTCTCTACCACTCTTTACTTTATTTTTTTTAAAGGTTTTATTTTTATTTTTTATGTGTGTGGGTGTTCTGTTGTATGTATATCTGCACACCATATATGTATAGGGCCCACAGAGGCTACAAGAGGAAGTCCGATCCTATTGAATGGCAACAACCTCATGGATGCTGGAACTCTGACTTGGGGCCTCTGGAAGAGGAGCCAGTGCTCTTTCTTAACTGCTAAGCCATCACTTCAGGCTCCATATTTTTCTCTTTTTAAAAATATAATCCCAGCCCAGGAAACAGTGCTGCCCACGGTGAGAAGTCTTTCCAACACAATTAACTTAATCAATATAAGTCCCTCCCAGATGTTCCCAGATGTTTCCCGCCTCTGAGATCCCAGCAAGTTGACAGTCACAAACAACTCCAGACTCCCCATGTAAAGGTTAATATTTTTTTTTCCTTTAGCTTCCCAAGCTAAGAAGCAGACCGACATTGCCTCTTAGGCTTGGATTGCTAAAGCAAAGAGAATGCTCTAAAGCCTGAAAAACACATGGGCTATACCGTGCCTTGTACAAGATTGATCGGCACCGGCTTCCTGTCAGGCCTACAGAGACTCAGAAGTGACCTGTTAAAGTTGGATCGTTTGGTGACCATTTGGCATCCTATCCCCTCTAAGGGGAGAGGAAAGAGAGCAGCAAGCTCCAGGCAGTGACAAGAGGGGATGATGTGGGCACCAGGCAGGGTGGAGATACAATCCCAGGACCTGGGAAGCAAGAGGCTTCCTGGGCTCTTGCTTTTCTGCTCTTGCTTAGGAGTCATACTTTCCTGTGTAGCCTGAGCTACACAGAGTTCATAGTAACAAAATCCATCTCCAAATGCCGAGCTCTGAGGATAATATAGCTCTGGGTGAGAACATGAATAAAGAAAGAGAGGTAAGGAGAAGGGGGAGGAGAGGAAGAAGGAAAAGGAAATGATGATGATGATGATGATAATGGTGGTGGTGATGAAGAGGAAGAAGAGGAGGAAGAGAAAGAAGAACAACAACTATGTGGGGCCCAGGCTGACCTCCAGCTCACAACCATCCTCCTGCCTCAGTTCTGAATGCTGGAATTACAGGCTTCCACCACTATACCCAGCTCTGGAAGGCTCCTCTTTCACCGCCTCTGCCAACCCCAACTTGTCTGACTTTGACATCAGCAACTCCATGTTTCACAGCATCTGTTTCTAAGTACACAGCTTAGTGCACAAAGCTAAGTGTCCTCTCACTGCCCGCCAGCCATCGCTAGCATCCATCTCCAGGCTGTCTCCATCACACACTAACCCCCGCTCTTAGCAGGACAGCCTAAGAACCTTCCTGCCCAGGCTCCCTTTAGAACTCTCACGAAGATATCTGTTGAGGATGCCCTCAGAGAAGGTTTCAGATGTGGGGGTTAAATATATGGAATTTCTGAAAGTGAAAAATAGATGTCTCAAAAAAAAAAAAAGGATTATTTAATGAGCTTAACACTAACCTAGACACAATCAAAGAACCAGTAAGGTCAAATCGAAGGCAGTGGAAAATGCCAAAATTGAAAAGAAGATTTCAAAGACCTGCTGGTGAGACTTGGTGAGCCAATCCGTTCAGACAGGGAGGTGGAATAGTGCCAGTGGAGAAGACCTTTTAGGTCTGGGAAGAAATAACTTGTTATGGAAGGCCAGCGTGTTTGTCCAACAGCTGCCTGGACACTTAATTGCTTTCCCATAGCTCAAGAGTGGGCTGTTATCACTTCAAGGATACCAACTCCTGCCTCCTTCAAGGGTAAGAGCTATCTGCACCAGGAAAGTGCTATCACGGAAAAGGGAGTGCAATGTTCAGGCATCTGGTTAGACTCCCTTTTGTCTCCCCTCTTCAAAGGCCAGAGGCATCTGCACTGGGGGTTGGGGAGAAGGGAATACTAATCGCTCAGGCTCAGTGCAGGGACAGGAGAGTCCAGGATTTGATCCGCAGAGAAGGGAGGTTACCTGTGTCTCTTCAAACAATAACTCAGAAAATGTGAGGCAGGAGGGAAACCGTGGCCCATAAATAGCAGGGAAAACAAGCAATAGAAACAGACCTACAGAGGACCTGGGTTCTGAAATGAGCAAAGCACACACATGCACACACTCAGACACACACATACTCAAACATACACACACACTTAGACACACACACAGACACACACACACT